GAAGAATTCTTCAATATTGAAAGAATATTCTTCAATATTGAAGAATATTCTTCAATATTGAAGAATATTCTTCAATATTGAAGAATATTCTTCAATATTGAAGAATATTCTTCAATATTGAAGAATATTCTTCAATATTGAAGAAGAATATTCTTCAATATTGAAGAATATTCTTCAATATTGAAGAATATTCTTCAATATTTCTTCAATATTGAAGAATATTCTTCAATATTGAAGAATATTCTTCAATATTGAAGAATATTCTTCTTCAATATTGAAGAATATTCTTCAATATTGAAGAATATTATTCTTCAATATTGAAGAATATTCTTCAATATTGAAGAATATTCTTCAATATTGAAGAATATTCTTCAATATTGAAGAATATTCTTCAATATTGAAGAATCAATATTCTTCAATATTGAATATTGAAGAATCTTCTTCAATATTGAAGAATATTCTTCAATATTGAAGAATATTCTTCAATATTGAAGAATATTCTTCAATATTGAAGAATATTCTTCAATATTGAAGAATATTCTTCAATATTGAAGAATAATCTTCAATATTGAAGATTTTATTCTTCAATATTGAAGAATAATCTTCAATATTGAAGAATAATCTTCAATATTGAAGAATATTCTTCAATATTGAAGAATATTCTTCAATATTGAAGAATATTCTTCAATATTGAAGAATATTCTTCAATATTGAAGAATATTCTTCAATATTGAAGAATATTCTTCAATATTGAAGAATATTCTTCAATATTGAAGAATATTCTTCAATATTGAAGAATATTCTTCAATATTGAAGAATATTCTTCAATATTGAAGAATATTCTTCAATATTGAAGAATAATCTTCTTCAATATTGAAGAATATTCTTCAATATTGAAGAATATTCTTCAATATTGAAGAAGAATATTCTTCAATATTGAAGAATATTCTTCAATATTGAAGAATATTCTTCAATATTGAAGAATAATCTTCAATATTGAAGAATATTCTTCAATATTGAAGAATATTCTTCAATATTGAAGAATATTCTTCAATATTGAAGAATATTCTTCAATATTGAAGAATATTCTTCAATATTGAAGAATATTCTTCAATATTGAAGAATATTCTTCAATATTGAGGAATATTGAATCTTCTTCAATATTGAAGAATATTCTTCAATATTGAAGAATATTCTTCAATATTGAAGAATATTCTTCAATATTGAAGAATATTCTTCAATATTGAAGAATATTCTTCAATATTGAAGAATATTCTTCAATATTGAAGAATATTCTTCAATATTGAAGAATATTCTTCAATATTGAAGAAGAATATTCTTCAATATTGAAGAATATTCTTCAATATTGAAGAAGAATATTCTTCAATATTGAAGAATATTCTTCAATATTGAAGAATATTCTTCAATATTGAAGAATATTCTTCAATATTGAAGAATATTCTTCAATATTGAAGAATATTCTTCAATATTGAAGATTATTCTTCAATATTGAAGAATATCAATCTTCAATATTGAAGAATATTCTTCAATATTGAAGAATATTCTTCAATATTGAAGAATATTCTTCAATATTGAAGAATATTCTTCAATATTGAAGATTAATCTTCAATATTGAAGATTATTCTTCAATATTGAAGAATATTCTTCAATATTGAAGAATATTCTTCAATATTGAAGAATAATCTTCAATATTGAAGAATATTCTTCAATATTGAATAAGAATATTCTTCAATATTGAAGAATATTCTTCAATATTGAAGAATATTCTTCAATATTGAAGAAGAATATTCTTCAATATTGAAGAATATTCTTCTTCAATATTGAAGAATATTCTTCAATATTGAATATTACTCTTCAATATTGAAGAATATTCTTCAATATTGAAGAGTAATATTCTTCAATATTGAAGAGTAATATTCTTCAATATTGAAGAGTAATATTCTTCAATATTGAAGAGTAATATTCTTCAATATTGAAGAGTAATAATCTTCAATATTATTGAAGAATATTCTTCAATATTGAAGAATATTCTTCAATATTGAAGAAGAATATTCTTCAATATTGAAAGAATATTCTTCAATATTGAAGAATATTCTTCAATATTGAAGAATATTCTTCAATATTGAAGAATATTCTTCAATATTGAAGAATATTCTTCAATATTGAAGAATATTCTTCAATATTGAAGAATAATCTTCAATATTGAAGAATATTCTTCAATATTGAAGAATATTCTTCAATATTGAAGAATATTCTTCAATATTGAAGAATATTCTTCAATATTGAAGAATATTCTTCAATATTGAAGAATTATTCTTCAATATTGAAGAATAATATTGAAGAATATTCTTCAATATTGAAGAATATTCTTCTTCAATATTGAAGATTATTCTTCAATATTGAAGAATATTCTTCAATATATTCTTCAATATTGAAGAATATTCTTCAATATTGAAGAATATTCTTCAATATTGAAGAATATTCTTCAATATTGAAGAATATTCTTCAATATTCTTCAATATTGAAGAAGAATATTCTTCAATATTGAACAATATTCTTCAATATTGAAGAAGAATATTCTTCAATATTGAAGAATATTCTTCAATATTGAAGAAGAATATTCTTCAATATTGAAGAATATTCTTCAATATTGAATATTCTTCAATATTGAAGAATATTCTTCAATATTGAAGAATATTCTTCAATATTGAAGAATATTCTTCAATATTGAAGAATAATCTTCAATATTGAAGAATATTCTTCAATATTGAAGAATATTCTTCAATATTGAAGAATATATTCTTCAATATTATTCTTCAATATTGAAGATATATTCTTCAATATTGAAGAATATTCTTCTTCAATATTGAAGAATTCTTCAATATTGAAGAATATTATTCTTCAATATTGAAGAATATTATTCTTCAATATTGAAGAATATTATTCTTCAATATTGAAGAATATTATTCTTCAATATTGAAGAATATTATTCTTCAATATTGAAGAATATTCTTCAATATTGAAGAATATTCTTCAATATTGAAGAATAATATTGAAGAATATTCTTCAATATTGAAGAATATTCTTCAATATTGAAGAATAATCTTCAATATTGAAGAATATTCTTCAATATTGAAGAATATTCTTCAATATTGAAGAAGAATATTCTTCAATATTGAAGAATATTCTTCAATATTGAAGAATTATTCTTCAATATTGAAGAATATTCTTCTTCAATATTGAAGAATATTCTTCAATATTGAAGAATATTCTTCAATATTGAAGAAGAATATTCTTCAATATTGAAGAAGAATATTCTTCAATATTGAAGAATATTCTTCAATATTGAAGAATATTCTTCTTCAATATTGAAGAATATTCTTCAATATTGAAGAATATTCTTCAATATTCTTGAATATTGAAGAATCTTCAATATTGAAGTATATTCTTCAATATTGAAGAATATTCTTCAATATTGAAGAAGAATATTCTTCAATATTGAAGAATATTCTTCAATATTGAAGAAGAATATTCTTCAATATTGAAGAGAATATTCTTCAATATTGAAGAGAATATTCTTCAATATTGAAGAATATTCTTCAATATTGAAGAATATTCTTCAATATTGAAGAAGAATATTCTTCAATCTTGAAGAAGAATACTATTTTCTTCTAGAATATTGAAGATTATTCTTCAATATTGAAGAATATTCTTCAATATTGAAGAATATTCTTCAATATTGAAGAATATTCTTCAAATTGAAGAATATTGAAGAATATTCTTCAATATTGAAGAAGAATATTCTTCAATATTGAAGAATATTCTTCTTCAATATTGAAGAATATTCTTCAATATTGAAGAATATTCTTCAATATTGAAGATTAATCTTCAATATTGAAGAAGATTCTTCAATATTGAAGAATAATCTTCAATATTGAAGAATAATCTTCAATATTCAATATTGAAATATTCTTCAATATTGAAGAATATTCTTCAATATTGAAGAATTCTTCAATATTGAAGAATATTCTTCAATATTGAAGAATATTCTTCAATATTGAAGAATATTCATTCTTCAATATTGAAGATTCTTAATCTTCAATATCTTCAATATTGAAGAATATTCTTCAATATTGAAGAATAATCTCCAATATTGAAGAATATTCTTCAATATTGAAGAATAATCTTCAATATTGAAGAATATTCTTCAATATTACAGATTACTATTCTTCATAACCAAATATTCATTATTAATCCTCTAAACTATATTTTTTATTTTATAAAATATTTTAATACTATTGATTTCAATATTCATTTCTATATTATAAATATATTATTCATGTTTTTCACAACTATTCTTTAATATTCATGTATGGGTAAATATAATAATTATATTTGACAAATGGAATATTCTTTTTCGGAATACATATTCTCCGAAACGTCTTCAGTGTCTTTCAAATTTTCACACAACGTTCAATTTCCATCCAACCAGGTTTATATGTACGTGTCACTACACAAAAGAGATTGTTAAAAACAACCTTCAATTCAACTATGTTTATTGAGAAAATATTAATTACATCTCAAAGGGATACAGTACTTTAGGGTATTTCTACCCCCCTCTGCTTGCAGAACCTCAAGGGGGCACACAAATTCACTTACTACAAATACAAGATTCCTGTTTAATATAGTAAGCACACCATATAAATGTTACAATCTTGGGGCAAAATTCTTGTAACTCCCAGGTATACTCTATCATAATGATATATCACATCTAAATAATTTTAAGTGCTACACTACTTATGAATAACTATAGAAACTTTCAGTTCTTTCCAGTGTCAACTTATTTATGTATTAAACTTAACAAAATATTATTAACTTGTCTCAAATAACATGAACAAAAATTCAAGAGTACCTTAGGCTATTTATACCCATTACCGCCGCACAAATTCACTGATTACAAATACAACAATCCCATTTAACATTTCAGGTTAATATAGTACTATCTATGAGTATAATAGTGTGCATCCACAGCACTAAATTTTAACACATTAACGATCACACATAATATTCTCACTAATTTCTGCAACGATTCATAATAAAACTATCTTTGCCCTGTCCGTCACATTCCGGGAGATACGTGATTTTCTCACACAGACTCTCACTACTGTGCAAGTGACGATAAAGCAAAAATGTTACAAACATCAAAGGTATTATTCATATATATGCTATTTCTCTATTCCCTTTGACTAACCTGTTTCAACATTAGTCACTACACAACGTTGAAACCTAACACTACTAGAAACTTCATTTTCTGAGGTTCAAGCACAACGTCCTCACATTGGGGACTTATTTATTTTATAATGGTAAATAATACATTAATTTAGTATATATTATACACAATTTTTTATTATTAGTATATAATGATTAGCTATTTGATTCATTCAAAATATTTGCTCATTACATTTATTAATTATTGACTAGTGCATAACAAAGTATTAACGAAGAATTATAATGATTATTCATTATAATTATAAAATACAAATCAATTACAATTAATAACATCTATAGATAGTACATGAAACTTGCATTAATTTAATTACACTAATTACAATTCATGCCAATATTTCTAAGCTATCTCCAGGCTTATCACATTGGCGGTGCTCCGCCCAAACCCCCAATGCCGCGAGGGCCAGTGGCGCCGAACCCCCAAAGGCCAAACGCGGCGGCTGGCCGCTGTAACTAGGAATGTGTCGAACTCATGGCCGCAGTAGTCTGCCCTCGCCCTCCATCCCTTTTCCTTGCTCATCAATGGTGTACCTCCTGCGCCTTCCGTACTCGGTTCTGCAATTAGTCAAGCAGTAAGGGTGGGCAGAAACGGCCATGCACCATCAACGTGACGGCCAACGTACCTACCACTTAAGGCTACTGCTGGAATTAGTTTCTAAGAGGAGAGGGACATTTCCGGAAGCGAACTGGGCAACAGTCATTAATGGATAAAGCAAGGGTGATACCCTGTGGGAAAACTGACAATGAACACTGCCACAGGGGAAGAGAAAAAGATCTTCCAGGAAACTAGTCGCTAGCGAACTAAGGTAACTACCAACCTGAGCAGAACTTTAGCGGGAAAAACCAAGACAAGTAAAAAAACGTTGGGGGGGGGGGGGGGGGAAGGCACTTACCGTATCTGGGACAAGGGCAGAACTTAATCCAGGGGGAGGCATCTAGCAAGCAATCATTCATTTCAAACTATTAAAATACAATAATATAAAACAACCAAACATTAACTATTTATATGACCACTATGTACATAATATCAATTCAATATATACATCAAACCATATTTCAATTATAATAAACAGGTTTTAAGGCGCAACTGCAACATGCTTGCGTCCACAGTGACACGAACACACATTATAACGATGCTAACCGAGTCCCTTACAGTGATCTCCATTGTATGTTAGCCTCCCAAAGCATGTTACACCTGAATACTTAGCCTAAGAAAATGCCTTAAGAGGCGTAAATGACTAGTCTCAGTGTCAATGAGCATCTGCGACCACCAGTACCCAAAGAAATTAAAGATCTGCCCATCTGAGGCAGTGAAATGGACACCAGGAACGCTAGGGATCCCTAATTCTAAAACGTCTGCATAAACCAGCGGCCTGGAAGGCCGCATATTTATATTACCAATATAAATATAATACCCGAATAACATCGCCGGCTTAACTCATCACAGGAAGAACGTTGCCTCGAGACCAGCCCATGAACGCAGTCAGCTAACACGGCAGTGGCTATGACAACTTTCCTGGCTACATTGGGCAGACAAAAACGTCTCGATAAACCAGCGGCCTCGCAACCACCAGTATCTTCCGGCCTACACCGAGCAGACAACACGTCGGATAACCAGCGGCCTGGGAGGCCACACATGTCTGGATAAAACACCACCCGGAACGCTGCACATTCTTTCCGCCTACAACGGCCACACAAAACGACTGGAAATGTTTACTGGTAAACGAAACTGGTACTGCCTACCTGTCAGTACTTATTAACTTCATTACAAAGTCAAGATAACAAGTATGTGTAAAACGGTAATTAAATGACATGCACTGAAGCAATGCATAACTAACAATAAATTGCTGACGGAACTAATCATAATATGAGTCCAAGATAAACTTAAAAGGGACAGCCATGAGGCCCGAAGACAGCGTCTAGCACATCCTAGCTGACTAACTTATGCTTCACCTTTTAAGTAAACAAACAAATGTAAAACCACCAAAGAAACATGCACCTTGACACTGCATAAAATTAATAAATTAACGAAATTTATGGAAAATAACAGTCCATGAAAAATTAAAGCTAGGGACCGCAGGCCTGTGACACAGCAGCTACCGTAACCTACCTGACTTTACCTATTAACTTAAAAACGATAAGCATAATGATAAACATAACTGTAAACCAGAAATAAATAAACACATGCAGCAACACGCTGCATAATTGGCGGGAATAGTTACCTGATGTAACTAAACGTAAATGCAGCGCCAGTAATCTTAAACCAAGAGGCAATGGGGGTGGGGGGGGCCCGTACTCCGCGCCTATCACAGCCTAGCTGCGTTACTTTATAACTTAATGGCAAACAATAACAATTGCGAAACCACTAACAGTAAATCGCGTGACCCCCATAAATTCCAATATTAAATTTTGCTAATTTAATGGTACACAATATTGTGTACCATTTCGTAAAGTCAAAGGCATGAGGCTTGTAACTCAGGAACTAGCACAACCTAGGTTACTTATTTATTAACACAAAACAGGTTTAAGAAGTTAATAAAACATGCACGGGGGCAATGTATAAATTTTAATAATAAGTTGCAGAGAGAAACAATTCCTAGTTGCAAGCCCAACGAAGGTAACAGCAAGAAACTTGGACCCGTGATGCGGGTCAAAGATAAATAAATTGTGAGGCATAACACATTCTAACTCAAAGACAATAATATACAATTTTATATAGCCAGCGTTTAGATTATGTTAAGTCAATTAGTCAATGATCTAACACTAATTTCACGTCTGCTTGACATTTATATCTATTACCAATTTCTCTTCATTTCGGTAACGTTTCCCATATATTACAAACTTTGTATTTCCTAGATTGGCAAAGTACTATCACATTTATATATACAAAAACGTACATTGCGGTTGTTACAATACATACCATGGTATTTACACTTGTAAGGCCATTACTACGCGCACCCTTTCGGCCAGGTCCTTAATCTAAGATAATTTTAAGTACCTAAATTCTAGCGAAATTAATACAATGATTGATACATTGCAACAAACACAACGAGAGATTAGTAGGTACAGGTATATTAAACCACATTGCTATATTAAAGCTCAAATTGCATTGACAGCTTGATTGGTAATTTATACTAACATTAATAGGCACCATACAGCAAATGGAAAGCCCATAAGACAGCAATGATCACAATGGTAACGTTTTTGCCATTGGGTACATGATTACAATATTGGGTACCACTACATACAATGCAATTTTAAACCAACACTGTAGAAAACTATGAAGATGCAATTACGTACCTTTTACTTTCAATATTAGCTACTTATCGTAAACATTCTTCCTAATTAGGTACCTATTGCTGTAATCTCCTAAGACAAATATTAGGAATTTAGGTAATTCTAGTTTAAATATTTACTTATTAATCCATACAACTATCTATTCCTTTATGATTCAACAATTCCCCAACATTATTTCTATACATCAACTATATAGTTCCCCCCTTGACCAAACCCCATATTTACTCCCCTCTGTAAGGACACGCATTCTAGGCGACTCCTATTTCTCGATTATATATATACTGCACATTAATAATTCCAAACCCACTGGATATCTAATAACCCTCACATTACATCCTCGACGATTCTGCACTATAAACATTTACAACAATATTTAATTCTTTCGTACCTTGTATGGAAGAGAAAAACTTGATCATTCACCAGCTCGAGGTTGTGTCCCAACAGTAACTACACACGATGGTATCCACGTCTACGGTACTCAAGCGTCTCACCTGCGAAACTATATTGTATTCAGGATTCCGAACATTCATATACGATAAACATTCATTATCACCATTTATATCTCAAATACACGGCCATGCACTGTTCCAAAAGCAACACAGCTTGGGAAGGAGTGGGGGGGGGGGGGGGGGGGGTTGCCTCATGGGCCACTTTTGAAATGAGACATGCACTCGAGTTATGAAACAAAGCGCCAGTCCACCTTCCAGACACTCTGGGGGGGGGGGGGGGGGGGTGTATCAACTAAGCTTAATCTCTTATCTGGGAGCTGCGAGTGTGTGACCTGTTCTTCATGTGTAGTATTTCACCATCTATAGATGAATACCGCGTACCATTCATATATATACACACACACACCAAAGCTTCCACACGCTATGTTCACTTCCAGCCATTTACTTTTATTATATAATAAAACTCTTCCGTCTAGTAAGGCTGCGTCTCATGACGGCTAATGCTCAAAGTACACCACATGATTATTTCACGAATGATATTACATTTAGTACTACTTGGGATTTCGGTGTTATGGACTACGTAACTAAATTCTTGGAGGAATGTGTTGAAATGAACATATCACACTCACCTGCAGGTCACAGCCTCTTCCATTACTCTGCAGTGTGGCGTTGGTTGCCCTCCATCCATGATGCTTTCTTCACAAATACATACTTCACCATTGCTCTCTTTCGCCCAGCCACCACCTCTCCACACGCTCATCTGCATGAAATATAATGCGTAATATGCATCCATTTAACCTTAACATTTCGTATTAAGGGCTACAACAATCTATTTATGAATACTCTAGTCCAAACTCCTTACACAATTTTCTCTTCCCTACCATTTCATTTGCTCTAGTATAATGGTATAATTAAACCTCTAACAATTTGTATATTACTTTCTGATATGTCTATCAACGTCTAACTAACTTTAGATGAGGGAAAACTATAATACATACCAAAACATGTCTTGCACCTCTGACGAGTGCTAATTTTCTTTACAATACCATCAAAGCGCAGCCATGACAATACCCTTCCCCACCCTCAAAACACCATGTCGGGTATACCTACAATCCGAACCTAAACACGAAATTTACAATTATTCGGGTTTCGTGATCGCGCATAATCATCCTCCCTCCCCAAAATCAGCGTCTCTGTTACAGTTCTGGCTAGACAACATTAACTGCCCAATAATTACCTACCAGTAGTAATTGGGGTAACTATATCACCACAGATTGCCTGATAATCTTCAAGGGAAATGAGACTATCTTCCTACTACACAATTCTCAATTAACACTACAAAATCAACTCCACACCACATACTTCCTGCTACACAATGATAACCAACAGCTCGTGCACCAATAACTGAAGCTCAACCTTAAGTTACAAAAGTGACTTACTGACATGTTTTCTTTCACTTTTGCCTACACTACCACTGGTGGAGCGCACGCTATCCCGCTCACTACACAATTACACCAATATCAACAAAACCACCACCTACACAACCCCACGTCTACCGTCGCCACCCACCTACAGTAAACAAGACAAATACTGTCACGAAGCTCACATCTGGAGTTGACATTAATCAACCATTGGTCGCAAGTCAACCGGAACCTTATCACCTACATATAGAAATCATATTGTTCAGCTTTAAAAATAATGAGATCTTTGTCCTACGAAGGAGGTCGCGCTTATTTCATGCTCTATATTTAACATTATAAACAATTTCACTTAATAATGGTAGTAACATTTGAATAGTAACATTAAACATTTACTTATCACCTATCTACGTCAAACGACTCTGGTAAATTTACCTGTCTACTTCCTTCGACGAGGACAGGAAGGCTACGTATTGTCAACGGTTCCCCCCTCATACGTCAAATTATGTACCCAGGTAACCCTAACACTTTAAACTGGGGGGGGGGGGGGGGGGGGGGGGGGGGGGGGGGACAACAACACTTTAACGTTGGATAACACTACACGATAGCGACAGCGGCCAAAGCCTATCGACCGACTTATTCACTACTCTTAATCAGCAAACTTACCCGAAGCAACACCACCATCCTCCTTCCACACTACATTTTGACAATAACTAAACAACTTTTTACACAATTTATAATTAATTTCCGTAACTCATAGCTTTTCATATTTAAAACAAAACTGATGGGGGTCCGGATATGGCTGTAGTAACGACTCTTCAAACTTCCATTGTCTAAACTAACCTCAAAATTAGGCTAATCCTAATACAATATTACTATGCCTAACTATTTACCTTGTGCCGGATAGCCCCATCATACCTTGGTAACTCAAGTAGCACAACTGCAACATCTCCCACCACCTTCTGCTCGCCACGGTATGACTCCAATCATCGGTCCTTCAAGACTCCTGGGGAAAAAAATACATTACAATGTTACAAATCAATACAGTACGTAAACATTTATAAATATATTTTAGTACTGATTATGAGTCAGGACTACAAATATCGCAGTATATATACCCCACAACAGGGGGTATATACGCCAGCTATAAAATAATAGAGATTTTTGCCCCTATGTGCGTTTGGACGGTGTACAGAGTGACAGTGTAACCTAGGGGTCTGTCAGCCCTAGCGACCCCAAAGGGTAACGGGGTACCAGCTCAGAGTAACAACACGCCCTAACACTAACTTGTACACCTCTACTCGGCTAATTCTAGGGGCAAAATAACGTTCCGTTGCGCCTCAATGAGCAGGTCGACTCAATAGCCAATCACGTTTCTCATTTTCAGTTGACGTCACATTGTCGCAAGCTGTACTGTCATTGGTCGGCTCGACGTAATTGGACACCTTAGTAGTTAATGAGATTTATCTTTTGACACTGAAATATATCAACTCAAATGTATACTCAAAGTATGAGAAACATACATGTACCAAATGGATGAAATATTATCAATTTTGATACAATTTTCCTACTTAAAATTATCTGTTAGATTAACGACCTGCCCGAAACGCTGCGCGTACTAGTGACTTTACAAGACTGTAATTACTGTACTATGCTATGTATTCTCACAAACCCAATGTACCTTCTTGTATATAAATAAATATATAAATAAATATATAAATCAATAAATAAATTAATTTATTTATGTTTTACATTACACTCACAAATTATGATTTTCGAATACTTATTATTAAATAAGTATTATTATAATTATTAAATAATAACATTACTTATTCAAGCTGTATGTACAGTACAACACAGTACAGCATAGTACAGTACCGTTGAGTACAGTTCCGTACGCTACGATACACTACAGTATACTGTACTGTATACATTACAATACACTACAGTACCGTACGATACAGTACACTCAAGGGCACAGTACTGTACACTACAATAGAGAACACTACAGTACTGTACAGTACACTACAGTACAAGGTACAGTACCGTGGAGTTCTGGGGCCAGATTCACGAAAGCACTTACGAACGTGTACATCTTTCCTCAATCTTTGACGGCTTTGGTTACATTTATTAAACAGTTTACCGGCATGAAAACTTGCCAATCAACTGTTGTTAATGTTATAATCAGCCTCCTAGTGCTTCGGACCTCATTAACTGTTTAACAGTTGTAAACAAAGCCGCCAAAGATTGAAGATTGAGAAATATTCTTCAATATTGAAGATTATTCTTCAATATTGAAGATTATTCTTCAATATTGAAGAATATTCTTCAATATTGAAGAATATTCTTCTTCAATATTGAAGAATATTCTTCCATATTATTCTTCAATATTGAAGAATATTCTTTAATATTGAAGATTATTAATCTTCAATATTGAAGAATAATAATCTTCAATATTGAAGAATATTCTTCAATATTGAAGAATAATCTTCTTCTTCAATATTGAAGAATAATATTCAATATTGAAGAATCTTCTTCAATACTGAAGATTATTCTTCTTCAATATTGAATATTAATCTTCAATATTGAAGAATAATAATCTTCAGTATTGAAGAATATTCTTCAATATTGAAGAATATTCTTCAATATTGAAGAATAATCTTCAATATTGAAGAAGAATAATCTCCAGTATTGAAGAATATTCTTCAATACTGAAGATTATTCTTCAATATTGAAGATTCTTCTTCAATATTGAGGAATATTCTTCAATATTGAAGAATAATCTTCAATATTGAATAATAATCTTCAATATTGAATAATAATCTTCAATATTGAATAATAATCTTCAATATAATCTTCAATATTGAAAAATATTATTCAATATTGAAGAATCATCTTCAATATTGAAGATTATTCTTCAATATTGAAGATCAATATTGAAGAATAATCTTCAATATTGAAGAATAATCTTCAATATTGAAGATGATTCTTCAATATTGAAGAATATTTTTCAATATTGAAGATTATTCTTCAATATTGAAGATTATTATTCAATATTGAAGATTCTTCTTCAATATTGAAGATTATTCTTCAATATTGAAGAATATTCCTCAATATTGAAGATTATTCTTCAATATTGAAGAATATTCCTCAATATTGAAGAAGAATCTTCAATATTGAAGAATAATCTTCAGTATTGAAGAATAATCTTCAATACTGAAGATTATTCTTCTTCAATATTGAAGAATATTCTTCAATACTGGAGATTATTCTTCTTCAATATTGAAGATTATTCTTCAATATTGAAGAATATTCTTCAATACTGAAGATTATTATTCTTCAATATTGAAGATTAATATTCAATATTG